CCAAAAAACAAAACAAAACAAAACAAACATTATACAAAATAAAATATGGCTACCAGGATTCTAAGAAAAAGATCCCACTTGATTAGGAGAGGCGGAATGGAGAAAATGATAAAATGCTTCATGAAGGAGAAAGAATTTAAGGCAGTTGTTTTGTTTTACAGTGATACAGATCAAACCCAGGGCCTTGCTCCTGCCAGGCAAGGGGTCAACCACTTGGCTGTTCACCCCTAGCCCTGTAGAATGAATCTGAAATAGAAAGGATTTAATTAATAGAGGAAGTGGCAGGCACTAAAGATAAAGCCTGGGGCCACTAACAAGGCACAGTGAGAGTCTGACTAAAATGTAGGACAGGGGCCAGGGATTTAGCTCAGTGGTTCTGCCGCCTGCCTCGCAAGTGCAAGGTTCTGAGTTCGATCCCTGGTACTAAAAAAAAAAAAAAGTAGGATATATGAAAAGAGTAGGCAGTAAGCTGAACACAGGTTGTAAAGGCCTTCAATTTTCAGAAGTGAGTGCCTCAGTTTTGAGTTCAGCAATGGGGAGGATTACTAGAGGTTCCTAACACTTTCTCCTCAGCTCTACTGTCACCACCTTGGTTCAAAACACGGTAATCTCTGACCTGTGTCACTGTAACCATCTCTAACTGAATCTTTCTGCATTACTCTTGCACTCCTATGGTCTATATACTGCAGCTAGTTAGATCCCTTTATTTGGGGCTGGGGTGCTGGGGATTGAACTCAGGGTTTCAAGCATGGTGATAACCACATACTGTACCACAGGCCCACACCCCTAGCCCCAACAGATCCTTTTAAGACATAGATTAGCTCATACTTTTACTCAAAAACTCTAAAATGGTTTCCCATCTCACAGAGTAAAAAGCCAAAGTCACTAGACCCAGCACTGCTCTCTCACCCTCTAACTCTGACTGATCTACCACTAGTCTACTTGCTTATTCTAGCCACACTGGACTTCCTTGCCATACTTTTTATAATATTCCAAGCATATAACTGTGGGTCACTCTCTCGCTTATTCTCTTTGCTTTCTTCAGGTCTTAAACCTTCTCTGACCCCACCCTATATAAAACAGCAAGCCGCACCAACCCCCAGCCAATCCCTTTACCCTGGCTCAAAGTAAAAAAAAAAGGTCAGCACTCCCCTATCTCTCTAAAGTAACTTTTTTCACAACACTTAACATCATCTGCCATCTTATTAATAGTAATCTTATTAATCTGTCCCCCCCACACACAAACAAGTCTGCAAAATATATGCAAACAAAATCAAAGCACTATGAGATAGGTTTTTACTGTTCTTTGTTCATTTCAGTATCCCTGGTACCCAGAACAAGGCCTGACATACAGCAGATGCTCAGTAAACATTTGTTCTAAGATTGAAAGAAGATACCATAGTGTTAATAGATAATTAGTTGAAATGGTTTATAGTACACTGTATTTATATAAATGGAACTTACAGTGAATTTATTCAAATTTACCACATAATTTTCCTATGGGAACTACTCACTAATACAGAGTTTGTAACTTAAGCTTTGAGCATATAGCAATCTTTAATTTATTAGCAATTTATTTCTAAGTCTTGCCTTTAAGTTAATTATTTGGAATAGGGGTGGTAGAGACTGACAAAGAGGGAGTCTTAAATCCTTTTTTTCTTTTTTCATTTCTCTTAAAATAAAAAGCAATGATTCTCCATCTTCCTTTCTCAGAGAATAGGTCTAATACACACCTATGAACCCTAAGGTAAGACCACAAATAGAAACTAGAAGTATGAACGCAGGGCAGCAATTAAAGACTCCGGGAAAGTGAAGTTAGCACAGAGGCGCCCGGAGAAGCTAACAGTTTTTATTTCAAATGTTCTTAAATTTTCTTTCTTTTTTTCTTTTGTACCAGGGATTGAACTCGGGACCTTGAGCTTGCAAGGCAGGCGCCAGAACCACTGAGCTAAATCCCGGGCCCCAAATGTTCTTAAATTAAAAGCTCTTGTATTTTACCAGGAAGTCAACCCAAAATAACACTAACTTCTTATCTGTTCCCTTTTTAAATACATAATCCTGAAAGACAGACTGAAAGTATATATATATTAATGTTAAATACCTAAACTTTAGATTTTATTATGAAGGATTTCAAGCATATAACAAATGTCAGGGGGAAGAAAATAAGTGATAAAGTATCCACCACTCACCTGGGTTAAATCTTAATCTGTTACCAAATTTGCTTCTGCTATATTTTAAAGACCACAGTTTTAAATTTTATGGCCTCTTCCTAGAGCCTTTATCCCTCTCCAGTTCTCTAGAGATAACTCGTATTCTGACTTGATGTTTACCACTCCCATGCACGTTTTTTATACTTTTGCTGCATATTCCAGGAATCATAGTAAACATACAGTATAGTTCTACATGTTTTTAAATTTTATAAATGGTATTATTACACCTCAGCTCTGTCATTTACCAGCTGTTTGACTTTAGGTAAATTACCATCTGTATGCCTCAATTTCTTCTCTGAAAAATGGAAATAATATTACCTACTACCTTATATGGTTGTTAAGAGATACAAATGAATGAATACTGTTAAGAAAGCATTTTTAAAAGTATCTTGCTGGGCTGGGGTGAGCTCAGTGGTAGAGCACTGGTTTAGCACGTGAGGGGGCCCCAGGTTCACTCCCCAGAACCACGAAGAAAAAAAAAAGTATTCTGCTTACAGAAAGCAGCATACTTGTGTTAGCAAGTATTATACAAAGCTCAAAAGGACCTTGATTGTATCTATATACTGACTGAGGAATATATACACACAAACACCGATTGAGGAAAGATTACCAAAGTGGCATATGAAAATCTACATAATGCCACGGATATTCTCAAAGTTGGATCCAATTAAAAAGTACAATGTGAGGGCCGGGGACTTAGCTCAGTGGTTCCACTGCCTGACTTGCAAGTGCAAGGTCCCGAGTTCAATACCCGGTACAAAAAAAAAAAGTACAATGTTTAGGCTGGAAAGGCTCACTAGCCTACATAACAATAGAGGGGAAAAAGCCTGTACTTTTAAATTTACCAATTATAACATTTTACTAGAATTTAAATAAGTGATCTAAATTGAAGATTTAAAAATATACACATACTTAGCCACTTCCTTTTATGAGATTTGGGCAGAAGGCTCGGAGAGAAGGGAAATTCCTCAATGAGCTGCTATTCAAAGACTTTTCTGCCTAATGAAGGAGGTGCTTTGGCTTCCACACAAAATAAAATATTATTTAGTACTCAAATTTCAGTACTTTTCTCATCTAATTTTTTTACTAACTTTAAGCAGAACAAATTAAAATTTAAAATGATGCTTTATAATAGGATTCACCTAGATTATATAATTTTCATAAAGACAAATGGATTCTGCAAGATTTATCAATGTGATCTTGGACATTTTACTTTTATTTTGACATAGGATTTGTATTATACTCTCTAGGTCAAAAGATCAGAAAAGATCAAAACTGAAGAGGGCTGGGGATTCACCTCAGTGGTTCTGGTGCCTGCCTTGCAAGCGCAAGGTCCTCAGTTCGATCCCAGTACCAAAAAAAACCCAACAAAAACTGAAGGGCTCTACATACTGAGTCTCACTGAATTTCTTTCAAGAGCTTTTTAATGACTTAAAAATATATCTGTGCTTTGAAGACTGATATATATCTAATTTGATACATATACAGAGGAACAACTATATCTAATGAGCATCTAGTAAATGTCATTTGTTGCAGGATCCATTTTTTAATCTGTGAAATAGCTCTATGGACAAAATTTAGAAAACTACCAGATAACTTGTTTAACAAAACATACCTCTGCAAAGTGTTAAAAATGACTAGTACAAAAGCCAACATTTAAGCTGGTAAAGGATATAAATGTGTGTAAAGTATCCTAAATATAGCAACACAAAAGAGTTGAGATTTATTTCTCCTAGAGTTTAGCATATATTTCTATGTCTGGGAGGCTAGCTGAAAACAATAATTAAATGTAACAACAAGGATAAACCGCGCCCCCCCACCAAAACCCCGTCCGTGAGAATGTAGTCCGTGAAGAGATTTATGCCTTGGAAAAAGTTTTTAAGTTTTAGCTTACTCTTCTTCCTAAAGTGAGAACTTTGAAACATGGAAGCATTGTTTCTGTTTCACACCTTCCCCCATCCCAGTAAAATATATACGTATAAGTCAGTCAGTCCCAATGTAAGATTCAGTGGGAAATCAAGCTTTAACGAATAAACCAACAAGAAAAAGGCCTAAATACTTTCATTATCTTCTAATGGAAAAAGAACCCCATCATCGCTACCCTTACGTCCACCGCCCCTAGCAAGACGCAGCACCTGCCAAGCCCGACGCTCAAATAATGGTCTAACTTTTTTAACGCAATGTAGAAAGAAGACGCAGATTATTTCTTGAGGAGTCCCAGAAGACAGAAGAAAACGTCCCCTCAAAAATGAAGGCACGTGTTTTGCGGCCGTCTCCTCTGCTAGTTGAAAGATACAAAATCCGCTTGCTTCAGGGACCCTCGGAAGGTGCACACTCCGGCGGCGGCCGGCCTCGGGCCTCGGCGAAACAGGCAGTGTTTACACCTGTCACGAGGGAGAGGGACGGAGGAGGAAACCCCAGCAAAGCCCCAAACTTCTCAACAGCTCCCACAAGGAGCTGCCGGCGCGGAGGTGTGGGCAGGTGGAAGCGGAGGGGCAGGGCGAGACCGCGGCGGCCGGGGAAGGAACGGCTCACACTCCTCGGCCGGTCGCCGGGTCGGAGAAGACAGTGCTGGGCGCTTCAGGCGCCGCCAACAGCTTTCCCGCACCCCCCGCGGAAGACAGCAGAGCCGGAGCCCAAAACCTGCAGGCCCGCAGAGCCAGCTGGGTTTCCACAGCCCCAGCTCCGCGGCGGGCAGGTGCTTCAGGCCAGTGCGAGAGCTGGCAGTGGGCCGGGTCTCCGCACCCTCTTCCCCCAAGCGGCTGAGGAAAGAAGAGCGGCAGCGCTTACCTGGCTCGTCCGGGGCCGCCGCGCTGGGCATGGCTCAGGGGCCCGGGGAAGAACTGGCTCCCCGGGGAAGGACTGGCTATTCCGAGGTGGTGAGAGCGGAAGGCAGGCTACTCCCGGGCCTGTCAGTGCAGCAGCGCCACGGACGCCCACCCGGAGTTTCAGCGCTGCCGCGGGACCCCCATCCCACTACCCTCCGCCCTCTTCCGCCGCCGCCGCCGCGGCCGCCTCCACCTCCTCCTCCGCGGAGACCCCCCGCCCACTCCACACACTCTCCCATCATGCAACGGGGAACGCTGCCGCCAATACGTCACTTCCGGGCGCAGGTAGCTAGGTCGGGGCCCGGCGCTGCTGAGTTCAGCGGGTGGGAGAGGACACTAGGGGAATTAGTGTCTCAAAACGCATCCTCTTGCGCAGGCGCTGTGGCGCCAAGCACCGGCCGCCATTTTAGGTGCGGGCAAACTGCCCTTTCCTTTTACTTCCCGTAGAGTCAGCCTAGAGTGGGGGGTAGACGTCCTCCCGCCCTCCATCCCCCGCTGAGGCGGCGCTGCCGGCGGGGGACAGGCGCTGCTCTTCACTGGTTAATGTTCTGCTCAGGACTCTGCTAAATCTTACACTTCCCAAATAAGATTACAAGTTTTAGAGACATACTGCCAGATCTACACCAGAAAACCTACTAAGCAACATGCAGCAGCTTGCCCTTTTCGTCCGCAAACGACTTTCTCATTCACGGCCTAAGTCGCTTCCTCTTTTTATGTACACCAACAGAACAGGAAACTGATAATTAACAAATAATAAAGAAGGGATTGTTGTACATCAAAATTAAGATGAGAAAGCAACATCCGAACTAACAAATCATCGACAAAATAAAAATAATGGTCTGGAATTTTGCTAAATATGGTAGTGGCTCTTTATTGTCCTTCAAATTAACTTCTGCATTTAAAACATTTCTCTTAACAAAAATCCTAACATAATCTGTTTCCTTCGTCTGTCCTCAGCAGTTGATCTGTGTTCCCCTTCTCCCGAGTATGTTAGAACCCCAGCCACTGTAAAAAATCAGACCAGAAGGCTACACAATTATTATTGCTATCTGGGAAACTGAGCCCAGGCTTCAACCCCACAAATCAGGAGTCCTGTCAAGTACTGCCCGCGTTTGCCAAACTTCTGCATCAATAATTTGAATAATTTAAAGATAGTTCCCGAAGCGCAAAACTCAGCAGATCCACAAAGAAACAAGGATGGAAAACACCCTTCGGCCACAGAGAACTGTCCACCCCTTTGAGTGGGGGAATCACACAAATCCGAGGAACGATAAGGACAATAGCAGTTCATCACGGTTTATCCCGCCTCTGCGAGGTCCTAGACAAATTAGTTGGAGCTCGAAAATAGTCCCGATTTGTCTCTTTACATCTCAATCGCTGTAAAATATACGGAGACTGAATCACTTTAAAATGTAGTACCAATTGCTTTGTGGTAATGCTGGATTTTTTGTTATTGCTCAGTCACCAAAGTGAGAATAATCTATAGGGCTTGTCAAATTTACGTATTCCTATTGTATTTCGCCCCCTGCTGGCTTGATTCGTGTGCAAACTTTTAAAAAGTATGTGTATAACTACTATGTAAATGCCTATTGACTGAAAAGAAACAAACATTTTTGTGTGTAAAATTGGGCACGAATTGATTTTAAAGGACTTGTTTTCATTTGATAACTTTATGAAACAGAAATGTTGGAATAAGAACATATGACAAGAGGGGCTGGGGATTTAGCTCAGTGGTTCTAGTGCCAGCCTCACAAGCACAAGGTCCCGAGTTCGATCCCCAGTACCAAAAAAAGAACATATGACAAGATCCTAAAACAGAACCTATGGTACAGAAAGGTATAAATTATGAATTTAAAATATTAATAAATTTAAAATGTTTAAAATGATGAATTTTAGTGACGAAACACTAAAATGAAAACCCTGCTTTTGGGGAAATATCTGAAATATCTTATTTCATACATAACATTTGATTACAACATGATGGGTTTTATCAGGCAAATGCAGAAAGATAAATTCACTTAAGAACAACAATTCAAAAATCAGCTTCCTTTCCACCGCCTGCCTCGAAAGAGCAAGGACCTGAGTTCGATCCCCGGTACCAAAAAAGAAAAAAAAAAAATCAACTTCCAACTTTGTCTATGGAAATTGAGTAGCTATTTGGCCAACTGATTGGTGAATATAATTAACCAAGCTGTTATTGCTATTTTTATAGTGTAATTCTGAAAACACTATAATGCTTATAAAATTGTAAGCATATAAAAGGAAAGTGTGAATATTTTTAAGATAATAAATTTGTGGGAAATAGTCTTATTAAAATTCACTGCTTTTGGAGCCAGTGACATTATAGTTTTTGTTTACCTTTTAATCATGAGATATAGGCAAGCATCCTGTAATCCCAGCCCTTGGGAGGCTGAGGCAGGGAGATCACCAGGAGTTTGAGGCCAGTCAGGGGTATATAGTGAATTCAAGGCTAGCCTGAACTACATGTGAGATCCTGTCTCCAAAACAAACAAATAAAAAATAAATAAACATGAGATATAATGTATTACCTGAGATTTGGCATCAAGAGAAGAAAAAATGACCATGTAATAGTCAATGGAGTGGGCATACTGTGATTTATCTGTTCCCCTATTAGAAAATATTTTAGTCTCCTTATATGTCCAACGAGAAAGTAATGGTAGACCAGATTTTCCATCCTCAGAGGAAACGTAACTAGCACATGGATCTCTTTACGATTATAGCCAGAGCTTTGGCCCTTTCTGTACAACATGTTCGAACCCACAGACAACACATTTTTTTAGACCTCATAAAGTTCATTCAAGGAACAGCATCTGAAAATCATAGCTTAAGAAACCTGCAGCAGATGATCTCCATGATCCTTTTTGCCTCTAAACATTTACCAAAGATTGTATTTTATAACTCAGTAAAAATTTCTGCCTAAATAAATATTTTTGGTAGATAAACAAATTGTAATATATTCATAAGTATATTACTGATTAGCACTTAACTGAACTAGGGCTATAAATTAATCAACATGGATAGATTCTAAAAGTATTGAAAAGTGAACAAAATTTCAGAATGAATGAAGTATGATATGTATTTTACAATGTAATTTTTAAAGATAAGTCAAATACATTATTATTTATGGATGTACATTTTTTTTTCTTTTTTTTGTTACCGGGCATCAAACTCGGGTCCTTGCGGTTGTGCAGCAGGCAACGAAACCTGCTGAGCTAAATCCCCGGCCCCTGGATGTACATTTTTATAGTAAAGTATAAAATATAGAGGAGAGGGATACACACCAAATTTATTAAAGTCTAATATGGATTAAGAAGCATTAAAGAGGACTCCATCGGCAACTGTATGATGTTTTATATCTTTAAAAAACTATGAAATAGAAATATAATGTGAGTGACATGTAATTTACAATTTTCTCATAGCTGCGTTTTTTAAAAAGTAAAAAGAAACTGGTGAAATTAAATTTTAACCAAATATATCTAAAATATCATTTTAGCATGCAATAAACATCTCTAAATTATTTATGAGGTAATCTACATTATCTTTGTAGTAAGGCCTCAAAATTCTATGTGTATTTCATACTTATAGCACATGTCAATACGGACTACATATATTTTGAGTGTTCAACCATCACAAGTGGCTAGTGGCTACCATATTGGATAGGACAGCACTAGCTATTTTTAAGTAGCACATTAGAATAGCCAATCACTTCTGTGATAGCCACTTCAATGTGTTAATAATGCCAACAACAAAAGAGGAGTCAAATTTTGTTACTACTATAACACCCCTTCTCCAAAGTCTAGGGAATGTCTTTGGGGTCCTTTATCTACATGTTATGTAGTAATGCCAGTTCCTAACCCCAGGAGTCTGTCTTTCAAATTTTACCCTTGAAAAGTTCTATATAATTTGTTGGAATTATATATACTATAGAATTTGAGCCTTTCAAAAATTTACTGACCTAGAGCATTACTTTTGTGAAAAACCTACATCTATCTTTAACTTTTTATGTTTGCATGACATAGAGATTTCTCTTTTGTTTTGTTTGCTTTGTTTTTGTGAGGCAGGGTCTCACTATGTAGCTCAGGCTGGCCTTGAACTTCCAATGATCCTTCTGCCTTAGACTCTCGATGCTGGGATTACCAGCGTGTGGCATCAAGCCCTGCCTCTTATTCAATTCTATAGTCCCATTGCCAAGAACATGCCCTGGAGCATGACTGATGATAATGAATATTTGTTCAATAAATGACAATCTTTTAAATCAGTGAATGAATATTTTCAGAAAAACTATTTTAATATAATTATTAATATCTTTCTTGATATGTTGCTATCTATCATATCTCAATCTTTGGAATTTAACATTTAACTGAACATCTTTATGCATTCAGCACTGTGCTGAGGGACTGGTATAAAGAAATTTTCATTCTTGCTTATAAACACAAGTGTACAGTCTAGTTAGAAAGATAAGAGCAATATACCTGAAACAATCACCACCTTGAAACCTTGATTCTATCAAATGGAGAACAATTAAATGATGAGCAGTACAGGACTGATAATAACTGTAACTGGGGTTCAGAGAAGAGGAAGATCCACTGGAATAGATGGGAAATGCTTCATTGAAGATGCATGTTTGCCCCAGTATATCAGATTGGTTCCACTGAGGGGTACTTCTCCAGGCTCCTTAATGCCAACTGCACTCCACAGCACCAGCCCTTCCTTCCTGGGGGCATTCAGAGCACACTTCTCTCAACCTTGTGCTGTTCCAGTGAAGTATGGCTTGTGTAAGCACTGCTCTCATGCTGTAATCTCTGGACTATCTCAGGCTTCTCTGGAACCTAGAATCTTATACTTTACTTTGAAAACTTAAGGAGAGTTCTCTTGTTATTTCTCAGGGGCCCAGCACTTTTTCTTCAATGTCTTTAACAGATTCTAGGTTCCTCCAACTCCAAAGCTACTCTCATGGCTATCACTTCTCCAAGTCTTCATTGATAGCAGTAGCCCCACTGAAATCACAGTAGAACTTCCCTGTGTTCCATGGAAACTCTTAACCTGATCGATCTTGTTGACCTTCCCTCTTGAGTTAGAACATCTTCACAACTGTCCCTCATGTTCTCTGCTGCAGCGAGGCCTGGGATGCTCGCTTGCTTTCAGAAGCCTTAAAGTGGGACAGACCCAGGTCTAAACCTCAGCAAA